CCAGAGAAAGATCCAACCAAAAAGGAGAACTATAGGCCAGTCTTACTAGTGAACATTCATGCAAAGATTCTCAATAAAATACTGGCAAATAGGATGCAGCAAATCATCAAGAAGATTATACATCATGACCAAGTGGGATTTATCCCAGAAATGCAGGGATGGTTTAACATATGCAAATCAATAAATGTACTATACCACATCAACAGAGCCAAAAACAAAAACCACATGGTCATCTCAATAGATGCAGAAAAAGCTTTTGATAAAGTCCAACACATGTTCATGATAAACCTTTCAGAAACTCGGAATACACGGTGTCTGCCTCAATCTTATAAAGTCCATCTATGACAAACCAACAGCCAACATTATACTAAATGGACAAAAACTGAAAGCTTTCACTTTAAATCAGGAACAAGACAAGGATGTCCACTATCCGCACTCCTATTCAATATAGTTCTAGAAATACTACCCAGAGCAATCAGACGGGAGAGAAATAAAAGGAATAAAGATAGGAAAGGAAGAAGTTAAATTATCATTGTTTGCAGATGACACGATACTCTACATAAAAGATCCAAAAAACCACATTAAAAGACTACCAGAAGTAATAAACAAATTCAGCAGTATAGCTGGATACAAAGTAATTGCTCAAAAACCAATAGTATTCCTGTACACAAACAAAAAACTCACCAAGAGAGAAATTATGGAAATATCACCCTTCACAATGGCATCCAAAAAAATGAAATACTTAAGAATCAGCCTAAGAATGTAAAAGACCTTCATGCTGAAAATTATGCTATGCTAAAAAAGGAGATTGAAGAGGATATTAGAAAATGGAAGGACACTCCTTGCTCTTGGCTAGGAAGAACCAACATTGTGAAAATGGCCCAAAACTGTTACACAGATTTAACGCAATCCCAATCAAAATACCATTAACATACCTCACAGATTTAGAGAAAACACTCCTAAAATTCACTTGGAAACAGAAGAAACCTACAATAGCACAGGCAATTCTGGCCAACAAAGGCAAGGCAGGAGGCATCTCAATTCCTGACTTGAAACTATACTACAAAGCCATAGTGATAAAATCATCATGGTACTGACAAAGAAATACACCTGAGGATGAATGGAACAGATTAGAAGATGTAAACACTTCTACAAAGACACTGAGCCACCTGATGCTTGACAAAGGGGCTAAACGTGTTCACTGGAAGAAGGATAGCCTCTTTAATAAATGGTGCTGGAAAAACTGGCTCTCCACATGCTGAAGACTGAAACTAGACCCATGCCTATCACCATGCACAAAACTAAAGTCTAAATGGATCAAAGATCTAAATATTAAAACAGAAACACTCAATCTACTGGAAAACAAGGTAGGTAGAAGTCTTGGAAACATAGGGGTAGGCAGAGAATTCATGAACAAAACATAAACTGCACGGGAAACACCTCAAAGAATCAACAACTGGGATCGCATATTATTGAAAAGTTTCTGCACTTCAAAAGGAATCACCAACAGAGTGAAAAGAAAACCCACAGAATGGGAAAGAATTATAGCCAGCAATCTGCAAACAAAGGACTTATATCCAGAACATACAAAGAATTGAAAAACATCAAGCCCCCAAATTCAAAGCCCCTCTCCAAAAATGGGCATCTGAGATGAACACACAGTTCTCAGATGAAGACATACAAATGGTACATAAATACACGAAAAAATGTTCACTATCACTGGTCATCTGAGACATGCAAATTAAAGCAGCATTGAGATTGCATCTCACTCTGAAAAGAAGGGCTGCCATCAAAAAATCAACTGATAACAAATGTTGGCAAAGCTACGGGGAAAAAGGAACGTTTCTCCACTGTTGGTGGGAGTGTAGACTGGTGCAACCATTATGGAAATCAGTATGAAGATTTCTCAGAAGACTAGGATTGGAAATTCCATTCAATCCAGCTCTTCCCCTCCTGGGTATTTTCCCAGAAAAACTAAAAAGGTCATGTCACAGTGATATATGTGCGCCCATGTTCATAGCAGCACAATTTGTAATAGCTAAATCTTGGAAATAACCAAGATGCCCATCAACCATAGAGTAGATGAAAAAGATGTGGTATTTTTCTACAATGGACTATTACTCAGCTATAAAAAAGGATGATCTTGAGGTCTTCATAGGCAAAGGGAGACAACTTTCATTAGGCTATCCTCATTAGTGAAATAAATAAGAATCATATTTATAAATATCATATTGTCTCCAATGTAAAAAGTAACAAGAAATGCAGGAGTAATAAAACCCAAAATGTGTTAATGCTATTATAAAAAAGACAGGAAAAGAAAGTGCTCTGATATAACTGCGTGTATGTTTAAGTGTGTAGGACTGATCACCATACTGCTAAGCTTTTTGTTGGATAGTTGAACAGAACTGTTTGCAGTCTCCCTGTTTGAATGTGCACTTTGTATGCTTCACTTTTGTAACCTGAACAGCTAGTGATTTCTCAGTGTTTTTTTTTTTTTTTTTTTTTTGGAATTATGTATTATTTCTACCCTTTTTCTGTTTTGGTTTTTTTTCTTTAAATAAAAATTTAAAAAAATAATCAAAGGCACTCAAATAAGCAAACAAAACACTGTAGTACTACTTACAGAGGCAGCTACTGTTTGCGTTAGGTCTGAGCAATCTCATTTCATATCTAAATTTTAAAAATGAGTATACTTGAGTGTAAATAAAAATGTTTCTGGCTTTGGTAATAAATGAATTTTTCAGTTTATAATAACTCCCATAGTGCCTGCCTCATAGTGTATAACAAATAAATGCATCAAAGTATCCAGACTGAAACCAGGCCTGGTGGTCTGTATGCTCCTGGAATCCCAGCGGTCTAAGAGGCTGAGGCAGGAGGATCACAAGTTTGAGCTCAGGCTGGGCAACTTGACAAGTCCACAAGATCCGTCTCAAAATTAAAAGTATTTTCAAAGGGTTGAGAATATGGCTCAGGGTGAAGAGCCTGGATTTAACCTCCAGTACCATGAAAAAGCTACATTATTTTATCCTCTCTTATGCTACTATTCAACTATTAAATATCTAATAACTTCACCAGTAACTGCTGCCTTTCACATAAAAACTGAAAGAAAATATAACACTGAGAAAATGAAAGGCAGTTCTTTTAACGCTGTCATAAATTTATGATTCAGTTATCCTCCTTATACCAAATAGCCAAATTGGTAGCTATAAAATTAATCAGAAACATGAGAACTACTGCTTAGGAGTCCACAAAGCACAGCTCCTGGCCAGGAGATGGACTTTTCTCTGTGTCAAGTGAGTGATACTTTGTAATCATAAAACCAGAACTGTAGCTGATGGGGGAAGTTGGTTACACTGAACTCAAACTCAGTTTTAAGCATTAGGTAAACTGAACTAATTCCAATAAACTTCAGTTAAGATTTTAGAGATTAAACTCTATCTAATAAATCCATTCAGAAAGAAATATTTCACTTCACACCGAAAATTTTAAACTAAAGCAGTGATACTCAAATTTTTCTCAGGTATCAGACTATCTAACTTACAGCACTTTTTGGAAAACACCTTAAAAAACTGATTAAGGACCATTAAAGAGCTCTTTGCTGAGTCAGACCTTTCTTCTGCTAGGCTCTGTTAACGGTTGAAGATCCCTAACCAAAGCCTGAGACCACAAGTAGCCTGGACTTCAAGTTTCTTCAGATTCTGCAACATTGGCAAACACATAATGAAGCACGTTACAGAAAAACCTCAAGACTAAGCACAAAATTAATTTGCTTCATTTATATGCTATGTAGCCTGAAGGGAAATCTACACGGTGTTTTTAAACAGATTCATGGCATGGAATTTTCCACTGTGACATCATGTTGGTACTCGGAAAGTTTTGGATTTTGGAGCACTTCGGATTTTGGATTTTTGGGTTAAGGATACTCAACCTACAGCCTTGCACCTGAGAAACCAAAGAGTGGGAATGGGAAACAAAGAAAATCAACCCATATTTGATCTTAGTAGCAAAACCCTCTGTCTACATTGCGGAAGGACAGATTGAGATGCACTGAATGAGACACGTGAGCACTGACCTTGGTCTCCTTAGTGGCTTTCTAAATAACCTTCAGAAGCACCATCGTACTAAAAAGCTCTTCCACCGCCAGCTCTCTCTCAGTGCTCTGAATTCTGCCTTCAGATCTGACCCAACAGTAGGGCAGCTTAGGGTCCCTGGGGCCTTGGGATGGCCGTGGGGCCTCCACTGACCGGTCCTGCAGGGTAAGCGTCCAGCCGTTGCCTGCCACACACACCCACCCCCCTCTGCCTTCCCCCTGGTTTCCCTACTCCCCCAACCCTCCCTGCTCAGACTTTCCTTCTGAGCTGCGGTTGCTTCACCCCAGAAAACCACAACCATCCTGTACAACCTGGTCACCTGTCCTGTCACCCTCCCACCCAGTGCCCTGGGCAGCACACTGAGCAGTGACTGCATACACCCTACTTCCGGTCTGTGCCCAAGTGGCCCAGGTGAGCAGAGAACTCAACTAACATCTGTCCAGACGGGAAGGGATTGACTGAGGTCTGTGCCATCTCTGAGGTTTCATTTCAGTGCTCCTTGACAGCAAATACCTCCTTCAGCTGAAAAGCAGCACTCTCCCCTTTGCAAGACCGTGTGACCTCCTGGCTTCAGGTTCATGTGTCCCTCAGTGTCACCTTAGTCACAGAGATAACAGGAAGGAGAGGAGGTCGAGCCTGACTGGAGCCGACCAAGGACTGCCGCACGCCCCTTTGTATGAGGAATGAATTCCTAGCCCAGGAAGCTTTGGCAACACCTGCCCTCCCTCACTTCTTAATACGCTAACGTGCCCTTCCTACTTACCTGCTTCACACTGTGAATTTTCATGACAGATCACAGTTTGCACCCCTCACTTCTCTGAAAAATACACCTCCATTCTCAAGTGATCAACCCATTTCTTCACCAAGGAGACCCGGAAAGAAAAGCCAGAGGCACCAGGCTGAACTTACCATAGACGGAGGAGAAAGTGAGGTGGCTCAGATGGCAGATATCAAAGGCTTCGATGTGGACGTCTCTCCAGATGCCCTGGGTAGGGAAGGAAGGGCCCCAGTCCCAGCTGAAGGAACACTGCTCCTGCCACGCAAAGGAGAGACGGGGCTGACCACGCTGGTGTGCACGGTGTAAGACACCTGCCTCCCGACGCCACATCAGTCTGCTAACGCTGCCTAACAAACGCCAGAGCCAGCGGCTCCACCAAACCAAACTTCTGGACAACAGGTTCCAGAGGCCATGTGGTCACAACCAGGCTGAGGGGCCTCTTCCATGTCCCTGCTTGGCCTCAGACGGCCCTTGTCATTATGGCCTATGCTCAGGCTCCCCTGGGGTCTCTGTTGTCCAAAGCCAGTCCTCCAACATGCTGCCCGGCCTAACCTGTTCACTTGACCCGATGGCCTCCTTAAAGACTATCGCCAAATACAGGATGTCCTGGAGCACAGGGGTTAGGAGTTCAACGTAGGAACTGTGGCAACAGAATTCAGCCCATACCTGTGTGCACACATGGCATGTGTGTCTCTACATCGTGTACACCAGCCTCTGGTTGCCCACAGTTATTCCCCTCTAGGGCCCACACCCTTGTGCAGTACTCTCCCTTAGGGCTTGGACCTAGACAGTCACTTCCAGCCAGCCTGTGGCACATGGGCTGTTTTTCTTCTAAGACCAAAGATGTTAATATATGAGTTGAGTTATGCAGGTATAGTGTCACACACCTGTAATTCCAATTCTCAGTAAGCTGAGGCAGAAAAATCACTGAGAGTTCGAGGATAGCCTGGGTTATGTGGTGAATTCAAGGCCTTGTCTCAAAAAAAGTTGTTCCTTCTAAACTAAAGCCTCATCATTTAAATTTAACTGCAGTGTTGGTGCTTTGTGATAAGTGTGTGGGTTAGGGCTACAGTTTGGGTTCTCACCTCTGAAAGGTTCACCATCACTGCACTAGAACACAATAATGGAGGTGCCGTCACTTTCAGAACTGGGCGGAAGAGCACTAGGACGTGCCAAGCACTGGGAAGGGGGAACCGAAAAGCTGGGGCCCTCACTAAGGTGGGCTGGAGAAGGAATCAGACAGAAGGGAACTATGTCCACACGGAGGGAGCAGAGGGGCCCAAGGGGACTCTTCCTTCCTAAAAACAAAACGCAAGACTAGCATGGCAGCACGTGCCTCTCAGCCCAGCTACTCGGAGGCTGATGCAGGAGGATCCCAAGTCAGAGGCCAGCCTGGGCAGCTTAGTGAGACTCTGTTTCCTAAAAAGTGAAAGGGACCGTGGCAGAGCGCTCGCTTAGCGTGGGCAAGGCTCTCAGCTCAATCCCCCAACACCACGGAGGGAGGAAACCCTAATGCCACCTGGAATGCTAACACAGTGTGCTCTAGATAAATTCAGGCCCTCTGGACTGGAAACAGCTCCAGGGAAACAACCACCTGCATCATTTTCTTACGTTTTTTTTAGATGTTATGAGAACCTAGCAGTCAAATATAAGATTGTGTTGGCAAAAGTGCTGTCTTTGCAAAAGACTGCCTGGTCATAAAAGTCAGTAACATTCTCACAGTTGGTGACAAGTGTCATAAATCTGTTATGTTATATATTAATCTGTAAAATCACACACATTTCTTCCTCCTCCTCATCCTCGTCCTCCTCCTCGTCCTCCTCCTCCTCCTCCTCCTCCTCCTCCTCCTCTTCCTCCTCCTCCTTTTCCCTCCTCCCCCCCTCCCCCCTCCTCCTTCTCGAGCTAGGTTCTCACTGTGTATTTCAGGCTCTTGGCAATCCTCCTGCCTCAGCCTCCTGAGTCCTGGGACTGCAGGAGTGTGCTACCATGGCTGGCCTCTTGAGCCCAGTTTCTGAACCAGCAAGGCGAGTCGTCAGACCGCCTTCCTCCGCCCACGCCCCGCATGTCAGCCTGGCAGCCCTGGCGCCCGAGGCCCACCTTGCGGATGAGGTTGACGTGGCACTCGCCGTGCTGCTGCGGCGGGGGGCAGGCGGGGGGCACGGGGGGCCCGGCTCGGGCGCTGCTCTGCTGCGCGGCGTACAGCACTGCGGACTGGAAGCGCAGCTCCAGGGAGTTCAGGTCTCGGGCCAGGCGGGTGACGTCGAAGCTCTGCAGCAGGGAGGCGGAGTGGACTCAGGGACAGAGTGCACAGAAAGGCGCTGCCCCTCGGCGGACGGCGCCTCTCCAAGCCGCCCCTCGCTCTCCCTAAGCCGAGCTCGGCCACGCGGGTCTCGGGCTCCTCGTGTTTCTGCTGACAGGATGACCGGCCCGAGAAACAGCAGGAAACCTCAAGCCCGGGTGTCCAGTCCGGCCATTTGCACCTGGCCCCAAGCCCCAGTCTGAGACACCTGCTGCCACCTGAGCCTGAATCCCCAGGTCATCAGCTGTCACTGTTTTAAAAAAATATGTCCTAGCCAGCTGTGGTAGCTCATGCCTGTAATCCCAGCACTTGGGAGGCTGAGGCAGGAGGATCTCTGCAAGTTCGAGACCAGCCTCGGCTACAAAGTGAGCTCAAGGCCAGTCTGAACTGCATAGCGAGACCCTGTCTCAAAAAGACACACACACACACACACAAAAATGTCCTTGAAAGGAAAGGGAGATCACGGTACAACCTCCTAGTGGAATTTTCCAGAAGGAAAACATTTTGTCTGAATAACCGTTTGTCAGTCGTCACTTCTCGTAAAGGTCTGTATCTCCAAACAACAGAGAACAAAGCTGTCAACACTCTCTACCTGCCAGGTGCTTGCCAGCCACTCTGCGAGGTCACTCATCAAACTCCTGCAATGACCTCCTGGGGCCTGCTAAGGTTCCCAGCCTCCTTCACATGTGGCCATGGAGACATTCAATGACTGACCCAGTCAGGGCTTCAGGGAGCGTGCACCTGTCCCGGACCAGCGACACACACGCTTCTCTCCGTGCTCAAAACCAGCGCGGACGCACAGGCCTACACAGAGCCCAACACTACCACATACTTACTTACATATCTACGGAACATGTTGTCTGTTTTCCCAATGGAGACATTATTGAAGAAGATTTCGGCCACTGTATCAACTCCCTCAAAAGTCAAATTTACTTTCTGCCATTTGCTTAAAAAAAAGAAAAAAATAATTTTAAATATAAGATATATGAAACATTTAACTTAGATGTCTTTTTGTAATTAGTTAACAACTAAGGAAATAAATATTTTAGGGGCTGACGATTTAGCTCAGCAGCATAAACACCTGCCTTGCAGGTGCACAGTCATGAACTTGATCCCCATACCAAAAAAAAAAAAAAAAAAAAAAATATTTCACGGGGAAAAAAAAAATCTTTTTTTTTTTTGGACCAGAGATTGAACTCACAACCTGGTGCTTGCTAAGCAGGAACTTGTGCTGCTAAGCTAAATCTCCAGCCCAAAAAATACATTCTTAAATAGCATTTCCAAAACAATTTTCAAGTGTAATAGTTCAACACATGCAATCTAGATTATCTTTCCCCACAGTAAGTCAATCAATTGCCCTAAAGTCAAGAGCATACCTATAATTTCCAAAGGTAGTGAGTTTTAGTTAATTCACCAAATTCTTATGAGAACCAAGTTAAATAATAGACACAGACTTTTCCACAAACTATTACACATAGAGATGCTAAAAGAACATGTTAAGCACCGACTAGTGTTTATGAGTGGATATTACATGGCCAGTATTCCAAGCACTCGGGAGGCTGAGGCAGTAGGATCATTGCAAGTTCAAGACCAGCCTGAGCTACAAAGTGAGCTCGAGGCCAGCCTGAAATGCATAGTGAGACCCTGTCTCAAAAGGACAAAATAAAAATAAAAAAAGACTCAGGATGTTATGGCTGCTATCTGGATGTTCCCCCTCCCCCAAATGCGTCATGTGCTCTAGATGGGAGTTTGGGGGTGACTGGATCATGGAGGTTGATACTGGATGACCCACTGGTTGCCTAGACCAGTTCCAGGGATGGTCTTACTGGCTGTGGGTGGCACCACCCAATATGCAGCCTGGATGGGATAAAAAGAGAGAAAGCCTCCTCCCTCTTGCCCGCCCTCCACAGACTGTTTCTCCTCTGCAGTGCTCCTCTGGCGCCATCCTTTCTTGGAGCAGCCGACTGCAGACTTACATCTCCACAAACAGTGAGCTCAACACACCTGTCCTCCTTTAACTCGTGGATGTTGGCTATTTTGTCCTAGCAACAAGAAAGTAACTAAGACAAGACTGCTGAAAACAGAGAGGTAAAGACATGACAGCCTAACCCCCACAGTTCTGAAGTGGGGTTACATCGGGACAGACGTGAGGCTGTTAGGACCTAAGCTGACTAGGGAAAGTCAACCAACTGACTTCTGGAGATGTGGTACCCAAAGTGAAACAGGCCTGTGTTAACAGGTATTTCAAATCCCTTCTAAAGCCTGGAGCAGCAGAGAAACTCCAAGATACTGTGCACAATATTCTATTTTTTTAAGACTAGTATTTTAATAAAAATTTCATATAAACAAGATTTTTTAATTTTAATAACAATACTGGTACTATATGTGCCCTTAGATTATATTCTGCTTCATACAGAAGTATTTGTTTATAATAACACAGAATATTACTGAAATCAACATGAGCCCTCCTTTCAGGTCACAGCATAAGGACAAAGCCATGATCTCAATGGCTTGTCAGCATCAACAAATCCTGTACTTTTGATCCTATTTAATCAGACTACACATACGTGGACCCTATTGGTTACTGGGGGGAGGAAAGAGTTTACATAGAGAATGGACCATGTCTAGGTGACTCTATGACAGAAGTGAAAACAGATTCCCCACAACACATTGCCATGGCTGATGACAAGGGCACCACCTTTACACAGAACAAAACGTAACTCACACATTTACTCTTACAGAAGAAGATTTATCTGAGCTAATGCGCTGATATACAACACAAGCAAACAAAAGCAAAAGAAGAAAAGCTCAAGTAACAATGAATAGTACACATATAAACTATACACACCTGCTATCAAAGGGTAATTTAAATTCGTTGCTGTAGGTCCAGTTCTCCAAGGAGATCCATCGGTAGTCAAGGTCGTTAAATCTGTAGTAAGGGTCCTGTTTATTGAAGCAAAAAAATTCAGGAGTTAACTAGCTATGCAAACATCAACATAAAATAAGCTGACAAGTATTGATCACCTAAAAATTAATGAACATTTGGTCTAGGAGTACAAAGAAGTTAGATAACCAACACTAAAAAATAGGAAAGAAACAACTCAAACCAGACATCTGAAGAGTTATGAGAGAAATACAGTTTTGTAGATTTTTTGAGTGTTTATTTTTTTGCTTTTACTTTTTGAGACAGGGTCTCACCATGCAGCTCAGGCTAGCCTTGAACTGTGTAGTCCAAACTGGGCTCAAATTTGTGGGGATTCTTCTGCCTCGGGCTCCTGAGTGCTGGGATTACAGGCGAGTGCCACCATGTCCAGATGTATAGTTTCCTTATCAAAGAACCTGCATAGAGACTGACATTGGCTGTTCCTGCTAAACCCCAGCTGGCCCTAGGGAAGCACCGCTGCTCCACCTCGTGCGCCCCTGGCATTTCTCGTGTTATCTTCCACAGCCTGAGTAGATGGGCACAGAGAGAGCCTCGGCAGAAGAGACCAGGCAGCACACACTGCGCGACCTCCAGACAGCATCCCCAGCACCCATGCGGGGTGAGCAAGCTGCAGTCACAGACACAAGGCCACTCACTGCCACTGCTAGTGGCCAGCAAGCTAGAGACACCTGAGGCCATACAACAGAAGCTGCCTTCCCTCCACCTGCAGGGACTACGTAGCCCAAAGTCCTAGATGGAAGACCAGGGCCACCTCCTGCCCTTGGCGATAGCTCCAAGCCGTCCTCCCCCACTGTGTGTGCAGCCCCTCATCAGTACCCATTCCTTCTACCCATTCTCCATCTTCCCCATCCACAGAGGGCACCCCAGCAAGCGCAGAACTGAAAGCAGAAGTGAGCTCTTCTGTTCATCGCTAACCTTCACCACAACTCCAGAGAAGGAGCAAAGTCTGTCTCAGCCCGTCACTCCGGAGGGCGATCTCCTAGACAGATTTTGTAGAACACAAACAGAATTTACACATTCAAATGTTTTTCCCTGGCTCAAAAGAGCCCAGGTGAGACAGCCTCATACAGCCCAGTGCTAAACGTTCCACAATGTGAAGCTCAAGCACCACCACCCCGCAGACTGGACCAAGCCAACAGGGAGCCACGCATGCTCCAGGCCGTGTAATCTGACTGACCTTAAGGACACAGGCAGATCTCCAAACAGATGGTTTCTCCTGCAAACAGCTGAGGCAGTGCACAAGCAAGTCCTCCCTGCTTAACCCCGGCCAGAAAAGCCGCCTGCAGGCACACCTCATGCTGACCAACCCAGTTCCGTTTCCCACCGTCCACTCCCTTGTTCCTGTCTTCAAACCCACGCTCTGCCGTGGGCCAGTGGGAATTCTCCAACTACGTTAGAGAACAGAAGGTGTTCTGATTCATGAACTGTGAAGACGAGCTAATCAGATCTTTGACTTGTTGAAATTTTGTCTTTTGACATGGAAAAGTCAGAACCATGGCGACAGTAGGATGGGCAGAGGTCAGGGTTTGGGAGGGAGAAGGCCAATCTGTGGGGCAGCCCGGCCATTCTGAGTGTTCTGTGATGGGGAACACGTCATCACACAGTGGCCCAGACCGACTGGCCGTACCACCAAGGAAGGCCCCCGTGACTGTCTCAGCGCCACTCCAGCAGAGCGTGTTGCCACCGGGCACACTCTGATTGCCTCAGGACAGGTAGTACACGGAACCCTGAACAGCCAATTTTGTCATGAACCACACACACACTGTTGTGAACCACACACACACTGCTTAAAAAAGGAGTCAACTAAAATTTTTGATCTTACTAAAGGAAAATACTGTACCAAAAAAAAAAAGTGGCAGAGACATCGATCACATTTATACGAACTACTCCAAACGTTCATCAGCTAGCTTAACTGGTTCATGTTGGCCTAACCTCTTTGATCATGTTGTAATTCTGCATTCTGTTTAAAGCAAACAGCAGCCAGGATAAAACTCCCACGGCTGAGGACACACTTATATCACTGAGACCTGGAGCAAACTGATGGTGCTGGCCACTGGTGGCACCGTGGGCTGGCTGTGAATCACACCACGTCTCCAGCCTACACTGTGGACTCCTATCCCCATCATAAACAAATACAGCAGACATCATTTTTTTATAAGAAAAAACTAATAGCCCAAGAGGTGAAGTAAGTCCCAGAAGTCCCATGACAAAACAGAAGTACAGTCAGGAATGAAACCAGCTTGGTTCGAGGCTAAGGCCACGTGCCTTAGACCAGGCCCGAGGCTCCACGCCACCAGGCTTACACTTCTATACCAGCTGGGCTCTCCAACAGCAATAATAAGTGTGACCCTGCTGGGTAAGCACTGTCACTGTTCCCACTAACAGAGGCCAACGCTGAGTCAAATCACCAATGAGTAGTGGGGTACTGACTCAGACCCAGGCCATGTGAATTGTGCAGTCATGAGTCTCACAAACACTAGCACTGGGGCCATGTGAATTGTGCAGTCATGAGTCTCACAAATACTACCACTGGTGACACTGTCCATGCAACTCACAAAGTCAGACCACGAGATCAGCATAGCATGCAACCACCTGACACCATAGATACCTCCTCCTCACAGGACATCAGTAAGCCAGGTATCACTGCAGTACACACCAGTGTCACTTACGAGTAATGCTGCTGTGGACACCACCGGCTACCTCTGCTGCCATGGGGTCATGGGGACCACTACCCAAGTACAGACTTTCCACTCCCACACTCGGCTTCCCTCCAGCGAAGGTCTCTACCCCAGGTACGGCGACCACAAACCGAGTTAAATGGAGAAAGACGAACTATTTCATTTCACCGGCATTATTTTCTGGGATATTTAGACAAAAATAACAAATAAATACTAAGAAACCATTGTTATGAAAACAAGCAAAGGTGAACAATATATTAAGAGTCACAGATATTTGGTAAAAACCTTCAAGTGCAAAAAGCAAGACAGTGAGAGTTCAGAACAGCAGCGCCATGGCTCGGGCAGCCGGGATGCCCACGTGGAGTGTCCGGCCCAGCTGGGTACCTGGGAAGCTCCGGGGCTCAGCAGGGGCCTCCCAGTCACTGCTGTGCACGCTGCAGGGACCCTCTTCCTGCTTCCAGCTGCCCAGCCACAAGGAAGCAGACAGCACCCTGGCCCAGACAGTGGGCTCTTCAACACACACTGAAAGCTACTGAGCGACAGGCCAATGGGACATTTCTCCCTCAGGGCGATTATCACAAGGTAGGTGACCATGGCAGACACTGACCCCAGATTACCTCCAGGACAAGTGGGCAGTGGACTGAGGGGGCAGCAAGTGCACAGATATCCATTCCATTACCTGACTAAACACGTGTGCACAGATAGAATTTCCCATGGATGAAGTACTGCATAATAGAAAAGAAACAAAATTTTCTGGCCAGCCAAGGCACCCTAAAGCAGCTAGGAGTGTTTTGTGCATTCCACTCAGAGAAGCTGAGCTCCCTGGCCTCAGTTTCCCCTCCTTAGCTACAACTCTTCCTTCAAGGCTGCATGGCGCAGCCGTCGAATCAGCCGGAGGACTTGGGTCAGCCTGAATGGCACCGCTGCCTAAAATCATTCTGCTGGTCCCCAACGCACTGCTGCATGCAATGTAACAAGACTCCTCCGTGTGACCAAGGCTGTTTCTTAGTAGGCAAAACAAGACAGGTAATTTGCTTAGCTCACTTCCGGGTACCAAGCACCATATCAGGGGCTTTGAGGAAACGGACAGGGCAGGTGTGGAGCCCCAGACAGTGCAGTGTGGCTCCAAGAGCCGGGACACTGACACCTGGGGGATCCACACTGACAGGAGGCTGGAGGGGAGGCTGCTCCTCACACTGGCTGCCTCTGAGATGGGGCCAGGAGGTCCCCTGAGCCCCAGTTTGGGCCTCACAGCTGGGAACCTTGAGAAGCTTCAAGGCGCTGACATCCGCCTGCCTCCATTCTGGAACAGATGAGCACGGCACCGCCAGGCCTCCCAGAGTCAGCAGAAGAGGGAAGAGGTGCCGGCTTAGGAGCTGAGCGGTGTTCCTGCCTCCGTGGAGAATGAGGGGGAAAGCCATGCTTTCTGCTCTAGGTACAGATCCTAGAAGATTTCTAAGACAGAGAAAGTTAGAGAGAAAGGTCAGCCCCAAGCAACACGCACAGAAGGCGGTCAGTAAGACACAAGTAAGTCTGAGCCTGGTAACTGGCCCGGCCCACATTTCCACGGAGACACAGGCAGCAAGGGAAGGCAGCTGCTGCACCACAGTTCAGGCTGGCCTTGAACTCAAGATACTCCTGCCTCAGCTTCCCAAATTCTGGGACTAAAGGCCTGCACCGCCACACCCGGCCTTTTTTCCATAGCTCTAAAATCAGTAAAACTAACTGTGCTCTTCTCAAAAGCAACTAAGCTAATAGCAGCAGAAATGACTAAGAGCACGGCAGGTTATAAAATCGAAGGCTGGGGACAAAATCTAGATGCAGCAGGATTCCGGGCCTCATTCACAGAGACGCAACTCGGGCTTTTATGAGAAAGAGGGGCAATAACAGAAACCACGGACTGAGATTTCGAGAAGAGAGACGTGGGTGTGTGGAGTGCCAGGAGCCCCCAGGACATTCAGGGAAGAGGGTGGACTTCACTCTCTTCCCAGTAATCAGGAAGGTGGCAGCCCAAGATCAACACGCTGGCCCAGAGCCACGGTTAGAAGCTTCTGAAAAGAGAATGGAGACAGATGTGAGGCATGGACTGACTCTCAGAAAACACCTGCATTTACTAAAATCTCAGCAAATGAAATGCTTTTGGTGGTATATTTTGAACAACAGAAGGGTCATCAAACGATAGAGTGAACGTTTAAAATAAAAATTATATTACAGTAAGACATATTGGCATGAACTCCCTGAAGTCCTGCCTTTCACTTTGAGCACACTTACCCTGCATTCTTTCCACTTTTTGAAGCTGTTCTGAGTCCTCTTTCATGAGTGTCTTTACAAGGCCTGATCAAAACTACTGTGAATGTCACTGCCACATAGCATCCAAAAGAATGGCAGGCTTGTAAAAACATGGCCATGTGTCTTCACCCACCTGATTCATAGGAGCTAAGATGGTGCAACTCTGGCTCTTTCCCAAAGTCAAAATGACCATGAATGCCAATGCCGGGCATGGTGGCTCACACCTGTAATCCCAGCACTCGGGAGGCTGAGGTGGGAGGATCGTTGTGAGTTCGAGACCAGCCTGGGCTACAAAGTGAGCTCAAGGTCAGCCTGAACTGCATAGGGAGACCCCGTCTCAAAAAAGACAAAAAAAAAAAAAAAATGACCATGAAAGGTAAACATTAACACATCTGTTCAGGACACTGACACAGCCACGCCACTGCTACTAAAGACATTCAAGAACCTCCAGAACTGCTTCAGAGAATCGCGGGAATGGTGGGTAAATGTGTTCAAAGCAAAGGGGTGGGATACGAGGGGGACAAATGGCAATGTGTCTTTTACTGTAATTAGAATGTTTTTAAATTTAAACACCCTATTTTTTGATCACCACTCACAGATTTTCCTTGGACATTTTAAAATTAAAACAACTATCATTTTCTTTGCTATTTATCCTTCTTGCCAGTTGACACCACGTGACAATGAAATGCATATGTGCGTTTGAATCTTTCCTCCACCAGGCTCACATGATCATGGGCAGTAACTTCTGAGCCTCCGTCAAAGGGAGTACAGTAACTGTGCCTTTTCCATGGGCTTGTGGGAGAAACTGAATAAGGACACAAGGGCCAAGGACAGTGCTGCACATGTAAAAGACAACAAATGAATATTACATGAAAATGGATTGCATAGCTTAGGTGGATGATGTACACGGTAAGCACCTACAACTCTACCTCATATGGCCCTGATTCTCTTTGGCCCAGTGAAGGCAACCTTCTCAAACTCTATCTCACATGGCATCAAACAAGGACTTAGCTCAGTGGCATAGGCGCCTGCCTGGCAAGCATGAGGTCGTGAGTTTGATCCCCTGTACTGATTAAAAAAAAATGAGAGCTTAATAAAGACTTCATAGTTCTCTCTTGCTAAAAAATTGATATGATGCACTGATAACTGTTTTCAGTTAAATTTAAATTTCAAATACTGAGTCACTAGGTAATTTATCTCCTAATGTCATACACAGTCTGTGTGATCAGACTTTTAGCAGACAGAAAGTTCATTAACTGAGAGCCTTCCCGAAGGCTCTTAAGCTCGTGTTACATGGTAAAATGATCAAAGAATGCCCAACATTTCACTTTAAAGACCTACGCGGAAGGCCAGTGTAACAACCAGAAAAGTGACTTCTGGTGTCAGAACACATTTATGTTCAAATGTATATTATGTCATGTGGGCCATCATTGTGGGATTTTGCACTCTGAAACAACACACCAGAACAATTCATGAGAGGTAGTGGTATTGCAGCTATTTTTTTTAAAAAAACAGAAATTTAGCTCAGCGGCATAAGTACCTGCCTTGCAAGCAGGCAGTCGTGAGTTCGATCCCCAGTACCAAAAAAAAAAAAAAAAGTGTAAAAAAAATAAATAAAACTAAATTAAAATAAATTTTAAAAAAACCAGGAAGTCCATTCCTTTCAAAGAGCTATTCCAAATGTTTGTAGGATGTCTAATAGTGCTTCAAAATGGTAAGAGAAGGCACAGCAGATGGAGGAAGAAACAAAATCAGCCAGAAACTAGTCACTGTTGAAGCCAGGTACAGGTAAACGGTTCATTTTGCCATTCCTTCCATTTCAGTGTTAGTTTGACATTCACTGAAATAATAAGTTTAAAACCTGCTTACAAGGTAACTGCTTCTCTGACACTTGAAGAGTGCAAAACTAAACTGTCCATTTGCCCACACAGTGGTTAGGACACATTCATGAATGAGAACCTGCGCACGGGCCTCCCCTCCCCAGGCAGACTGACAGCCGCTGTCAGGTAATCTTAGTTTATATTTTATAAACTTACACATCTAATAAATGTCCTTCTTTGATCACTTGACCCAATTACCTGTAAGAATGTAAGGTAATAATAAAATGTAGAGAAAAAATACTAAGCATCTGGTCCCTACTGCTTTTTAGTATTTGTACCTATTTATATATTTCTAACATATTTTCTTTTAAGTGTAGATTTTTAATAAGAATACATTTTATAATGGAGCTTATGTAGTCATTAAAAATTATCCTGGATTTATATTTATAGGCACAGATATTAACTATATATTTTAAAGTTAAAAATAGCTTACAAAAAATCTGAAAAAATTAATTTTGCGTTAATATGTTTTACTGGTTTTAATTTCTTCTTTATAGGTTCTGCATTAAGTTTTTGAACAATAAGCATTTAACTTGTATAGCTTCTTTTAAAAGATTAAAAATAAAAAAATAAGAAAATTAACATTAGTACATGAGAATTTACCATATGATAAAATATTACCATATCAGTGTACAAAAGAGAAATGCTCAAATAATAGGATATAATCAACCTGATAGCCACTTGAAACAATTCCAACGAATTAAAAATTTAAATATAAAGAAGGAGCCATACACATATGAGTGGAGTAGATTTCTAATCCTATACCTGCTCTGGCTCAGACATGATCTGTCCCCTGTAGGTTCGTATGGCAGAAACTCAGTCCCCAGCGTGAACTCTGAGAGTTGGTGGACAATTAAGAAGTATGGACCGGTGGAGATTGGTTTTGTTTTTTCGTACGAGGGATCGAACTCACAACCTTGCACTTGCCAGGCAAACGCTTGCGCCATTGAGCTAAATCCGCCGCCAGACAGGTGAAGACTGTTACTGCCTGCCATGTGATCAGGCCTCTCTCACACTCCGTCCACATCATCCCACCTCCCATGACCTGACACAAAGAGCCCGGGCAAGAACTAGCAGTGTGCTGTTTGTACCTTTAGCCTCCAACAGTACTCATGGAGTAAATCTCATTTATGATGTACTCAGCCTCAGGAGTGTCACTGTGGTTACGGAAAACAGACTAATAAACTACCAAAGACAGATACTACCACAAAAGAAAAGGCTTAAAATATTTCAATATATGAAATGTCAAAGTACGTACATGACAAAAAAAAATCACTATGAGCCAGGTGTGGTGGCAGATCCCTGTAATCCCAGCCAGCATTTGGGATTACAGGCTTCTGTAATTGAGACAGGAGGATCACTGCAAGTTTGAGACCAGTATGGGCTACATAGTGAGTTCAAGGCCAGCCTCAACTACACAGCAAGACCTTGTCGCAGAAAAAAAAAATTGTTATTAAATGCGACATTTTTGAAAATATGTACAATGGGCCAGAGATTTAGCTCAATGGCTTAAGCACTTGCCTGGTAAGGACAAAGTCCTGAGTTTGATCCCCAGTATAAAAAAAAAAAAAAAAAAAGACAATATGTAACAAGTAGATCTTAAAATATATGCTTAACAGGATACAAAATCAAGATTTTAAAAACTGCTTTTTTTTTTTTTTGTCTTTTTGAGACAGCGTCTCGCTGTACAGTTCAGGTTGGCCTTTAGCTCACTCTGTAGCCCAGGCTGGTCTCGAACTCGCAATGATCCTCCTGCCTCAGCCTCCTGAGTGCTGGGATTACAGGCGTGAGCCACCATGCCCAGCTCAAAACTGCTTTTTCATATAACAATGAACTAAGAAAGAAATCGGGAAAACAATTCCACTCACAATAGTCTAAAAAATTTTTTTAAGTTTTAAATTTTTTAAAAACTAGGGTTGCGGAAAGATCTCTACAATGAAAATTACAGATTTTTGAAGAAAGAAACTGAAGACACCACAGAAGATGAAAAGAACTCCCACGTTCATAGATTGGTAGAATTAACATTGGTAAAAACTCACATAACTGAAAGTGATGTATAAAGTTAAGGCAATCCCCAGCAAAATACCAGTGAGGTTCTTCATAGAGTTATTTTAAAAAAATCTAAAACTTTGTATCGGAGCACAAACGACCCAGCAGTAAGAGCACAGCCAGAGGTGTCACAGCGGTGGTCACCTCCAGAAGCTGGGCTTCCAACTGCTTTCTTTTTATTCATATCTTCTCACTCATCATGTTGAGAAATGCTTAAAAAAGAAAAATCTTTTCAAAACTTTAACTTGTTAGAAATGACACAGGAACCCTGAAAACATTCCTAATTTTTTAAAAGTCCCCTTATCTCTGCCCTCAATACATCATAAGTGATTAGCGAAGTTTTCTGCCTCACTAAATTACAGTGGGAAGTTTGGGCCTCTGTAAAGTATGCATCGAAAATGTCCCCCAAAGGTTCCATGAGCTCCTAAACCAGGGTTTCTGCAAAAGGACTGCACAGTGACACAGTGCGGCTGCCTTTCTGTTAAGGGGTTAGAGGTGGTCACTGAGGACTGAGGAAGAAAAGCCCTTCAGGTCATCCCATTCCTCCTCCCCTCTCTGCTTTCTGTCTCCATGAAGTGAGTCACTTCTCCTTCCCAGGCACACCTGTCACGCTGTTCTTCTTTTTTTTTTTGGTACCGGGGATCGATCTCACGACCTTGAGTTTGCCAAGCAGGCGTTTGTGCGGCTGAGCTAAATCCCCAGCCCAGGCTGCTTCTTTGGAGCGAGCCAACCATTGACCACAATGGCAGCCAAAATGCACCTCTCATTTAAATTGCTGAAGATGTCCATATTTTGTTCCAGACACAAGGAGAGTGACTATGACAGCCCCATTCATCCCTTTTTCTTCCTCATCAGTACATGATGTCATCCCCAGCCGACATCCGCTGGGCTCAGAAAAACACACCCAAAGGAAAGCTGAGGTCTAGCTGGCCTCTTCCACTCACTCTCAGGGGCCCCATTCTACTATCACCCCATCTCTTGCCCCTCTTTGCCTACCAAGGAGCAGGACAAGGCCCACTCTGGGGTTCCCCATCTACCCGGATGCTGGGTCCTCCACAAGACAACCAGCAGGACAAAGACTGGACCTTATATGCAACCCACATCCCAGGCAAAGTCTGTACCACACTGCTCTTTTTTCTTTGGGTCCATTCATCTCCCTTAAACGTCATTTTCTCTTTTAAGTTGCCTACAATCTCCTTTTCCCTCTGCCCTGAAAAGGGGATACTCAAGCCTCACCATCTGGCTTTTCTTTAGGGATCACACTTGGCATAATTCCCATTACTTTAATAAGTGTGTGCCTGTTCTGTCAACCCTCACTCATCAGTCTGTTTTACAGACTCAAATTATTGAAACTCCTGGGAGTGGCAAGAAAGTTCTTTTCACCCTACACACCTAAGGTTTGGATCCCATATAGGAAACCCAGGCACTTCAGAACAGTCCAGGCTGATCACAGAGCCTCTGAGCCTCAACCAGAAGCTCAGGTGAATATTCCCAACTTTTCCTGACTCCTCTTTCTCTTTATTCTCACTTCCAATCCATCAACAAATCCAATTAAACAACTCTCATTGGTTCTGCACTTAAAATATGCTCTCATTAAAAAAAAAGCTCTCAACACTGAGATTCCTGTTTCATTGCTACCCTTGGGATCCAAGCCAGAAACCGTCTCTAGCCCACAGAACTGCAAGGGTCTCTAGCTGGTCTCCTCGCAGAATGATCACTTTAGAGAGGTCAAAAGCCTCCAGAACTTCAAACTCAAGCGGAATAAAATCCAAAGCATCCCCCTTGGGTTACAGGCCCTTCGTCCCCAGGGACTCCCGAGGCTCCAGCATTCTGTCCCTGGACTTGTCTTTTTTCGAACTTTGCCCAAAATGTAATTCTCTTCAAAAGCAAAAATGTCTCTGCTTAGAAGTCACCTTAGACAGGGTTATAGCTCAGCAGCACAGCACCTGCCTGGCAACAGCAAGGTTCTAAGTTCAATGTCCGGTACAAAAAAAAATAGAAGTCACCTTATCAAAATAGCTATTTTTAACTACTGTTTAAACAGCAATCCTTGGCCCTGGGATGTAGCTCAGCAGCACAATACCTGTCTAGCAAATGCAAGGCCTTGAGTTCAATTCCTGTACCAAAAATAATTAAAAATAAAAATAATCCTTTCCAGTCAGCCTTTACCTTCTCTTCCTTTAACTTGCTTAATCTTTCTACAGTGAAAAATACATTCTGCATTGATTTGGTAATTGTCTCCCCTACTAAAATGGCCACGTGGTTAAGATTTTGTTTTCTTCACCATTTGAGGTCAAGCACTTAGAACACTCCCTGCTACACCAAAGGTACTGTACTACTTACAGGATGATTAATTAGGTGAATGAATATGCAAATGACTGACAGCCAGGGAACTTCTCAAGGTCATGTGCAAATGCAGTATTTGGCCCAGTTTCGAATTAAACAATACAGTGTGCCCAGATGGCAACACCAAGGAAATGTTGTCACAGAATAGGTGGGATGATAATGCGACCTTATTCGGGAAAGTGGTCACTAGACATCCTTCTGAATAGGTTGTCACACAGCTTGGGATACCGTCACCTGACGGCTAACATCACTAGTTCCTTCCTACGGGCTTCGCAATAGTAAAATGAGGCAGGGACCCGGTGGAACTAACGCCAGGCACTGTCCAAGAAGACGTGAGCCCAGGTTCAGGGCGCCAGGGTCAGCTTGGGCTGTGTCGTTTGTTAACTGAAGATAAAACACTTCAACTCCAGACAGTGATCGCCGTCACTGTGGAGCTCACTTCCTTCTTGTTGCACACCATCGGGAAGCACTGGGGACAGGGTTGGGCAACAACTTCTGAGAAGTGCACCAGAAGCGCTGCGACCCCAGCCGCCAGCCCCACGCATGCAGCACTTAGGCCGGTACTCCCTGACATCCGAACTTTGCTCCAGGAGGAAGTTGCGGTGCACAGGCAGGACGGATCTGGCGCGGTGCGAACTCGGATACCGTTCCCTGCTCCGCAGAGCTGTTATGAGGGCGGGAACCACGAGCACGGCACGGCCCCGGGCCACACAGCGGGCGCTGGCGTCGGTGGGGACACAGTATGCGCCTCGGGTGCACGGATGGCGCCCGCGCGGCCACACTCGCTCACACATTCAGTCACTTCCTCCTCCCTGCAGCCCTGTGTCACCCAGGGCGTTTCGACCGCCCCCCGCCTGCAGCGCCACCCCGGTCCCCGCACC